TCATCATGGCAAATGGAATACACTAAAGCATAAGCCAGGCTTTCCCAATTAGATCATTTATACCACATCATCCACTTTGGAAACCAGTTTATTTTTTTTTAATCCAGAGATTAAATCCTGCTGAAATATAATTGTACATAACCTGAGAAAAATTTACCTTCCTAATGCAATTCTGTACAGGAGCACTAGCCATTAAATTAGACCTCCACAGGCAATGCAATTTGGCTTTATGAGAGTTGTGGATTTATTTTATTGTTTCCCTTTGCATTATTTTTCACATGCAATGGAAATGACTTATCATTCCTTCATTAAGTGCTTATGCGCATTAAGCAATAGAAGAACAGCTATCAAAGTCACACTACTTGATTCCGGAGAGAGGAATGAACCATTCATTAATCCCACTGCTAGATGTATTCCAAGAACATCAAGAATATATGTTACATAAAAACTGGTACATGAATATCATAGCAACATTATTCATAATACTAAAAAGTGTGTATGAACCATTGTCCATCAGCTAATGAATGGATAAAATGCTAATGAATGGTGATATAGAGATCTGTATCATTGGATAAAATGTATATATGTATATATTCAAGTTTTATCTGTATATATTTCTATTCTATATATATTCTATATATTCTATATATATTTCTATTCTATATGTATATATTTCTATATATAACAGATAAAACTTGAATATATATACATATATATTTTTTTATCCAGTGATAAAAAGATGAAATATTTTAATTTGGATGAACCTTGTAAACATTTCAAGTAAATAAGCCAGACACAAAAGGCTGCATATTATATGTTTCAATTTATATAAAATATCCCAAATAGGCAAATCCATAAGGTAGAAAGGAACTGAGGGATTTCCAGAAATTGGGGAGAGGAAGAAATGGGAAGTGACTGCTAATCACTGCTAGTACAGGGTCCTTTTGAGGTGATGAAGTATCCTGGAATCAGTGGTGACAGTTGTACAACCTTGTAAATTACTAAAAAGCACTGAGTCATAGACTTCAAAGTAATACCCTCTGTTGCATGTGAATTATATATAATTTGACAAAAAAATAAAATCACACCTTTAAATCTGTAGCTGGGAAACAAGTTTACAGATAAAACTTGAATCAGGGTTCAAGCTTCCTGATTGATTTCAAAAGAAAAATTAGAAAAAACTACCATGAGAAATTGGTGTTACATTATTTTTTAAGAATAAATAGCAAGTTGAAATTAAACCTAAGGAAGAAAAAGACCATATGACTAATGATTATATGATAATTAAAATATAGTGTTTTTCCATTTTCAAATGACTATCAAATACATTAAAAGTTAAGCACTATTGTAATCAATTGCCTCGCCAAAATTATGCCTGGGTGATATTGTAATTCTAATTTTATAGGTGAAGAAATATTCAGTTATATTTTTCTGTTTTACTTTCTTTAAGAATCTCTAGGACCAGGTGGTCTTTTTCATCTCTGTATAAAGGGTATATAGTGTATATCCAATATATGTTTAGGTGAATGAATAAACAAATTAACGCTTAGAGAGGGAGGACAGTGGGCTATCTAAAGATCAAGCAGACCAGTCTTTGAATACCACCTTTGGTATTCAAATCCTATTTGCTTTCCTTAATACCACATCATGAGTATCCTGTGGTAAGAAATACATTTGTTCAAGTTCCCTTCTTTAAACTGATATCATGCTATTGTTCAAAGCCCACTGGTAGTAATCATTGATATAGAGCATATTTTAATACTTCAAGGAAAACCAAAGTTAAACACGTACAAATTAAGCTTTATTATTTACTACCAAAACTTCAGTTTAGTACTACAGACATTTTCCAAGTGCCTCTTATATGTGACCACGATGCTGTGCACGGGGAATAGGTATAAAAATAAGTAAGTCACTGGACCGGACGCATGTAAGCACCTTCTTTCATGGACTTATTTTCAGACTGGGAGGAGCTCTACCATATATTTCATCACTTTGTCCTTGTCAGTTATAGAGAAGCTGAGTTCAAACATAATTAAAATATTCAAAAGAAATAACAGTAAAGTATCAGTGGGCTACCCATCAACTCCCAAGGAAACAAGGCTAATCATAGTTGTAAGACGTTTTCCAGGAGCCCTGGGTGGACAGTTTTCCATAAAAACTATAGTCCCTCTTCTGATAACCAGGAATTTGGCGTTTGAGCAAGTTGTCTCACAAATCTCCATATACGGTTCACTTAGAATAATGCAGGATCTTTCTTTCTGGATCCATATTCTAGACTACCTAGTTAATACAAATTACTTTTAAAAAATATTAACCACTTCCTCTACATGCATTTTGTCTTTCTATAAAGACAGTCTATTTCTTATTTTGAGCTGATTGCTAAGCAGGGTTATTAAAAAACAAATATTTATATAGTGACATTCAATTAGCATGTCTTTGATTTATGATTTGATGACATTGATTAAAGTGCTGCTACGGTCAACAGAGTGCCTGGTCTAGCTGCTTAATATCTATAGAATAAGCTAACTACTCTAGTGTAAGTCAAGAGTTCGTCTATATCCAGAGTATTTTCTTTTTTATGATCATAAGCTACATTGATATAATTAGACTAACCTTTCCTCATCGATTTGGTGCCTATAACAGAAGATCAAAAAAATTAGCCAGCCTCCTCTCTCAAAATACTTGCATATTAGCCCGGGCTTTACATATAGAACAGAAACATAGGGCCCAACACTCAGTGGGCCACAATCATGAATTATCGCCCCAGAGCCTGTATTACAAAATCTAGTAAATGTCATGGTGACTGGAATGACTATGTATAAAATGTTACAGATTTCCAGATCATATACTAGTAGCCCACAAATATTATAGAAAGGCAAGCAGTAAAAGAAATGAATAAATGGTTTGCAGGGGGTTATTTTATATCATTCAGTGTCCTGTTCATACAGCAATAAGACAAATATTATACTTCTTTTTCAACTGAAAACAAGACCACAGGGAGTGACAAAGGGTGCTGGATTGGAATTAAGTTGCCAAAAGTAAAATCCCAGCACTACATTTTAATTTTTTGGTGAAGTGGCTTAATCTCTCAATTTCCCCATGTAAAGTGAAGATAATAATTATTGTTAATTAATAACATAAATAATAGTACTTAGCACAGTTTTTGGCACATAATAAGCATTCAGTAGCCACCAATTCTTTTATTATTGCTTACTGAAGGTTTTTTATTTAGTTTTTATATTTTGTCCTCTTTTGGTGTTCTTCACCTCCATTTTTATTAATGTCAGCGTAGTTTGTTTTGTTTTGTTTTTTAAAATTTTTATCAAAGCACTAAATGGTCTCTAACATTATATAGATTTCAGGTGGACTGCATTCTAGTTCACCATCTACATATGCTACATTATGATGTCCTCCAAAAGTCTAGTTTCCAGCACCCATACAATGCTGGGGGCTGAGCACCCGGCACCTAGAAGCCCAGCCTGTGCAGCTGCTCGTTTCCCAGCATGCAGCTGCGATCTCAATGCAGTAGTGTTTCAAAGCTGTGAACAGATTTCTCTCCCAAGAAGAGCCATGGTTTTCTCTAAAGTTACGTAAAATATTTGCTATTTGAATGTGTCCTTTTATCTCATTTTTATGGAGATGTTATTTTTCCTCAAACCAGGGCAGGTCCAGATGAATTGCAAACATTACCAGTAGATGAAATTTCTTTGTGGCCTTGCAAGGAGATGAAATTCAGTGTTCTTTTATCTCAAAGTGAAACACACACAGACACAAGCACACACCAAGAAAGATAAAATTTCAGTGAATTCTTTTTCTTCAGTTAGTGAATTTTCCTTTTTGCTCTTCCTGCCTTTTATGCCAGCATATATGCATATGAAGCTAAAGCTGTGATAGAGTTCACATCTAGCACTTTAAATAATGAACCTGACTTCAATATCTTGCCTAAAAACAGATTGCATGGGAGTTATTACAATGGAATTCATCTCCTGTACTGCCTTGTTACGTAACTATAGATATTAAGTTATAGCATAACCTACTTTACAATGGTATTAACAATCAGAATTATGTGTAAAGTATACTCTATAAAATAAAGAAAAATAAAAGTATATCCACTTTCACTACTGCTATTCAACTGTGACTGGAATTCCTAGACATAGCAAATAGACCAGAAAAAGTAATCAAAGTCATCTAAATTGGACAGGAAGATCAATACAATCTGGTTTCAGAAAGACAAAAGAAAAATGAACAACCTCAGAGACCTGTGGATCCCATCATGCATAAGAGGAGTCTTAGATGGGAAAGAGAGGATGAAAAGGGCAGAATAAGTATCTGAACAAATATTGGCTGATACCACTAAAATTTAATAAAAAACATTAATCTGCATAATTAATGTGAAAAGTTCAGTGAATCTCAAGTAGAATAAACTCAGTGAGACCCACACTGAGACACAGCCAAACTATCAAAAAACAAAGAGACTCTTGAAAGCAAAAAGATGCAACACATCACATACAAGAGAGTCTCAAGATAACAGCTGATTTCTCATCAGAAACCATAGAGGCAAGAAGCAATGGGATGATACTGAAAGAAGAAATATCTGTTGATCCAAAATACTGTATGTGGCAAAGGTGTCCCTCAGAATGAAAATTATTAGCCATTACCAGATAAACAAAAACAGAAATAGAAGTAACTGCTAATAGTACAGTTTCTCATTAGGGTGATGACATATTCTAAAACATTATTGTGGCTATGTCAAAACAACTCTTTGCACATACTCGGAGCCATTTAACTATACTCTTTAAATGGGTAATATTTATGGTGTGTGAATAATATCTCAGAAAGGCAACATTTCTTTTAAAAGTAAATCATTACTATTAATGAACATTTCATTTCACATTTTTATTCCTAAAAAGTAAGTTCTAACACCTAAACTTTTAACATTTCATCATTTTAACATGTGATAAGAATATTGTTTCCAAAGACTGTCTTTTTTTTTTTTTTTTTTTTTTTTAATATATGTAGCTGGACAACTCAGCCAGTCAGCACATTTAGCTCTTCAACTGCCATACAATGTACTTGGGTTAGGTCGAAGTGCAAATTTTCTTGACCATCTTTATGTTGGTATTCCCCGTCCATCCGGAGAGAAGGTAAGTAAAAATTTATTTTTTTACAACTAATCTGTGTTTTAATATTTGACATTCAAATGGTTCAAACATTTTTATTCCCTTTAAATAAAATAATTGATCTAAGCTTTTTTTACACATAGCACTTCATAATTTGAAAGTAGTTTCCTGCCACCTCTCCCATAAATCTCACAACTTCCTATTTCTCTTTCCTGTTTTTTCCTCTTATCATTTTCACCATCTAACATACTAACATGAAAAAATATTTTAAGTCTGCCAACAGAGCACAGAAAGTCTATTTGGGCTTTCTATATGTAAATGTAGCTTAATCCATACCTAGGATTTCAGTCAAAAAGTAAGTTTGTTTCTTACTTTTTTAATCACTGTATAAATTGGATTCTCTGTTTGAGTGTTCTTATTGTAAAAATAAATAATTCTTGCTTTTATATAGAGACAGAATTATATGTACAGCTGCATATAATTTTATACCTTAAATGAAAGAATACATTTCATTTCAAATGAAATGACATCACTTCATTTATTATTGCCCACTAATTTTTATAAGTATTTTGCTTTGTCAAATTGTACACTATGTAAATGTCCAATATTTGTCTTTGTCATAATTGCCTCAAACCCCTTCTATTTTTCTGTAAATGGCAACATTTGTCTTTCCTTATAGCTGATAGTGTTCCATTGTGTGGACTGACCACATCTTCTTGACCCCGTCCACTATAATTGGACACTTAGGTTGTTCCCATATATTTGTTATGAAAATAATGCTTCATCAAACATTGTAGAGCATACAATTTTTGAATTGATGATTTCATATTCTTTGGATAGATTCCCAAGAGTGGGGTTGTTGGGTTATATGGTATTCCCATTTTAGTTTTCTTCAGATAAATCCAGATCTCTTTTCAAAATGGCCGTGCCAGTTTACATTCCCACCAACACTATAATAGGTTTCTTCTTTTATATCCTCTCTAGCATTTGTATTTGGGGGTCTTTTTAATATGCACCATTTTCAGGAGCATGAAACAATACCTCATTGTGCTTTTGACCTAAATTTTTTCATTTATTTATTGGCTTTGTGGATTTCTTCATTGGTAAATTACATGTTCAGATCTACTGCCTATTTACTAATTGGGTTTTTGGGGTTTTTATTGTTAAAAAGTGTAATTTTTTATATGCTTAGATATGGACACTTTTTTGGTTGTATAATTTGTAAATACTTTCTCCCATTCAGTGGAATGTTTTCTTAACCTACTTAGATTTTCTTTCACTTTTTAATTTGAGGTAATCTAAGTTGTTTTCTTTTACTCTTATTTTCCTTGCCATGGAAAGGAAAGTCTCCAAAACATCTTTATCATTAATGCCATGAAATGTATCACCAGTATTTTCTTCTATACATTTTATTGCTGCAGATCTTTTATCTAAATCTTCAATCCATTTTCAATTTATTTTGTGCATGAATTAGAGAGTGATTCAACTTCATTCTTTTATATGTAGCCATCCAGATTTCCCAGCACCATTTGTTAAAGAGATGTTCCTCTTCCTACTGTATGACCACAGCTCCTTTATCATAAAAAATAGTTGATATATACACGTATTTATTACTGGGCTTTTGGTTCTGTTCCATTGATCCATGTGTGTTTTTTATTCTAATACCATGTTGTTTTGATTACTGTTGCTTCTTAGTATACTTTAAAGTCAAATAACAATTCCTTTGTTTCTTCCCTTTTTTCTCAAGATTGCTTTTGCTATTCAAGGGCTTTTATAAAAGTTTTTATATAAATTTCAATATTTTTAATATTCGTTTTCTCTACTAATTTTCTTTAAAGAATATTGTTACCATTTTTAAAGGGGATTGCATTAGATCTATATATCACTTATGGAAGAATAGTGACTTTGAGTATCCATGAGCATCCATGAGCATGGAATGTCTTTCCATCTCCTTATGTCATGATCTGAATCATTTTGTAACATCTTACAGTTTTCATATATAAGTTGTTCACCTTTGTTCAATTAATTCCTAGGTATTTGATTCTTTTTGAAATGATTGTGAATGAAATGATTTTCTTAATTTTTCTTCTCATTTATATATATAACTAGCAACAGATTTTTTATGTTGCTGACAGATTTTTGTATGTTACAATTATTCACTTATTGTTTCTAATAGCTCGTTGGTGGACTCCTTAATGTTTTCTATGTATAATATCATAGCATCTTCAAATAATATCTGACTTCTTCTTTTCCAACCTAGATTGCATTTATTTCCTGTTGCATAATTGCTCTAAATCTAATACTAAATTAAAAAGTAGTGCTGATAGTGAGCATCCTTATCTTATTCCTGATACCTCAAGGAAAGGTTTCAGTTTTTCACCATTAAATAGTATATTAGCTATAGGTTTGTAATATATGGCCTTTATTATGTTGAGGTTCTTTATTTCTTAGAATCTTTTGATATTTTTCATTGTTAAATATTCTTAAATTCCTTTTCCAGACTGTACGAAAACAAGAGTGGACTGCAATCATTCCAAATTCCCAACTAATTGTCATTCCATATCCTCACAATGTTCCTCGAAGGTAATGTCTTTGGGTGAACTTAATTTTTTTTTTTTTTTTTTTTTTTAAAGATTTATTTATTTATTGATTGATTGATTGATTGATACATGCATATATACAAGCACTGGGTACAGTCAGAAGCGCGGGAGGGTGAGAGAATTCACCAGAGCCAGAGCGGGAAACAGAATAGGCAGACTGATGAAGTACACTGCTGAGGGGAGCAGCGGGCAGCAGGAGAGGTCTGCGCGCCATATGGGACCCTCCTCCGGTGGCCTGGGAGCAGCCGGGGATCGAACCGGCACAGCAGAGGTTGCTGGCAGCTTCGCAACCCAGCGCTCAACCGCTGCGCCACCGGGGAGGCCCTTGGGTGAACTTAATTTGATAAAAATAATGTCAATCTAAATCATATCTACTATTACATCTTTTAAAAACTCTCTCTTCCTCGGCATCCCCTGGTGGCACAGCGGTTGAGCGCGGGGCTGCGGGGCTGCCTGCAGCATCTGCAGCACGGGTTCGTTGCCTGGCGGCAGGCAGCGAGGGTCCCACAAAAAAAAAAAAAAACTCTCTTCCTGTTGTGTTCCCATATGTGCTATCACTTAATTTGCTTACATCACACCTTAAATGATGAGACATATCTATATAGAAGATCTCTGACATTTTTCATAAAGAATACATTAAACCTTATTGGAAAAACAGCAGGTTAACTAATTAGGGATTTATACATATTCTACTAAAGAAACTGGTTTTCAGGTTTACTGTTTATAAATTCTAAAACATTAAGATACTGAACATTGTAATAAACATTGGTCTTTTTAGTAAATGCTTTGAGAAATAGGCACAAAATTTGGGGGTCTAACAGATCTAGGCTAGAAACTCAGATATACTGCTGGGTAACTGTGGGATTCAGAAGTCTGACAGTCAACTTCTACACTGTAATGAATGACATTACCTACCTATAAAGATAAAGATGGAATATGTTTAATATAGTGCCTGGGAGACAATAAGTTTTCAGTGAATAGTAGTTATTTTTATCCTTATTAGCAGAATGTTCCTTTAATTATATAGCATTTAACTCTAAATCCTTAATTTATCTTTGTTCATTTTCCTTTACTAGCTTGAGTCTGTCTTTTTAAAAAAGTAGGTGAAAAGAGACTATGGGTGCCTTGGTGATGGGCATGGTGTGGTAATATACACCTGCGGAAATGGAATCCTTTATTTCTGAATCATATACAGTGTTGTAAGCCAATGTTACCTTAATTTTAAAAATATTAAAAATAAAAATAATTAAATTTCATTGGAAGAATACAATTTGTTCTTGAGGCTGACCTGATATTAATTTAAAAGTTAATCAAAGAGAGGGCCTCCCCAGTGTCTCAGCGGGTTGAGCTCCATGCAGCCTCAACAGTGCAGGTTCAATCCCAGCTGGTGGTGAGAATCCCACATGGTGCCACAGACCTCTCCTGTCACACCTGCTGTTCCCCTCAGCAGTATATTTCTGTGGTCTGCCTGTTCTGCTCCCCACTCTGTCTCTGGTGAATCCTCTCACCCTCCTACGCCTCTGGCCTGTTATCCCAGCTTTTGTATCAAAATAAATCTTTTTAAAAAAATAATCAAAGAGAAACAGTATAGTGCATCTGCAAATGTATAACTAGTGATGTCCTGCATGTTATTTTTCTTCTCAAAATGCAGGTTGTGTTGTTGTTTATTAAATTTTTTGATGGAATGTGTTCAATACTTTTCTAGAACTAGCTCATGCTACTTCATGAGCTAGAATTATATGCATCTCCTTCTAACTCTGTTCAGTGAGATCACATTAAAATCAGTCATGATGGGAAAATTTACACCATGAAAATTGGCAAATGCCATAGATTGGGTTTTTCCTCTAGAGAGCCAGTTTATCAGCACACCACTGGATATATTTTATGGTGGATTTATTGGCTTTAGAACCAAGCTACTTAATAGAGAAAACAACTTTATAACATCATCATGCTTGAAATAACATAAATAGAAATACTTTTAGTCTGATTTCAGACTTCCTAATAAGTCCACATCATATGTTTGATAGTGTTATGTGAAAAAAAATTCTAGAAAATCTGCATCATGAGTAGAAAACTGCATAAATTATGATAATTCTATACCATGTTGGAAAATCATGACATAGAATAATCTATTAAAATAGTGGTAAGCAAAAAAAAAAATAAAAGGAAAATGCATTCATATAATAAGCAATGATTTTTATTTTAAAAACAAGATATATATTGGAATGGTGTACAAGAAATTGATACAAAAGAATGCTTCTGGGCAAGAAATTAAAAATTGCCCTTCCAGGATTCCCTGGTGGTGCAAGGGGTTAAGATGCAGCCTTTGAAGCTATCTGCAGCCTCTGCAGCACAAGTTCAATCCCCGGCTGGCCAGGTAGCAACCCACATGGCACAGCAGACTTTCCTGACTCACCCGCTGCTCCCCTCAGCAGTGTATTTCAGTCAGTCTGCCTGTTTTGTTCCCTACTCTGTCTCTGGTGAATCCTCTCAGTTCCCCCCAACACACACACCTCTGGCCTATACCCCAGCTCTAGTATGCTTAAATAAATAAATCTTTAAAAAATAAAAATAAAAACTGCCCTTCCATTCAATATTTTTGGCCAACATTTTTATATTCTTGGGTATTTAAAATCTATTTAAAAAGTACACTCAAAAATTCTCATGAAATAATTTTTAAATATGAGGTAAAATATTAAGAATAGATAACTTCAGATAATTAATCCTGTTTACTTACTCTTATGAATTTCTAAAATTTGTTTTTTAGCTTTCTTCCATTATCTCAATATTTTTCATGTCTCACTCTTTCTCAACAAATGCTCTTTTCAAATTTATGTACATAATAAACAATTGATTTTAGTTTGAGGTGTATTTTGAGATTTATTGACGAAAGGCTAACTTAGGGGTCAGTAAATTTTAATTACCCTAAAATAAGTCAATCGCAACTTGCTATTCATTAGAATGATTTTACCTTTATTAAACTTTGAAGTGAAAATATAACTATTATCTATTTTCAGGGAGAACAAAAAGTTCTTTGTATGTAACCATCCACACAGTTCGTTATAGAGACCTTGGTTTCAGGCTTTTTAGAGTTTACAAGTACTGTATTAAGTGTTTTAGAAAGAAGAGCTAATCCTATTTATGCTAAATCTGTTTATTGCCATTAACATTGAAAGACTAAAAGTGGTTTCATAAGAGGTCTTTATGTAAGAGTCATTGTAGTAACGTAAGCCCTCTAAACATAACACAGAAATGGTAGTTTTGCATGTCATCTATCTATACCTACTTGAACATATGGTGATTTTAGTTGTCATAGTACTTTTATGAATACAGATCAAAAAATAAAATGATATAGAAAACTTATCAAAATCATTAACATATAGCCTTAAAGTCAAGATTTCAAATTCAACAAGTTAATCAAGATGTGCAATGTCTAAGATTGGCTAAAACACCTTGCATAAGTTTACTTAAGAATAGCTTTCACAAGATCAAAGGAAAATATCAAAACATCTCATCAAAAATTCTATTCTATTTTAATTCTCTGAGTAAATCTGAACCCCACAGGATCGACCATATCCTTAGCCCTGTCTAAAGTGACTCACTTTTATTTATAATGAATAAAGAGATAGATGAATGAGTTAATGAATGGATTGGCTGATTAAGCAGTTTTGCATTTTGGTCTAATAGAATTTTATTATATTTAAGTTAATATGTGTAATTTTAATTCTTCTGTTTTCACCTGCAGCTGGAGTGCCAAACTGTACCTTACACCAAGTAACATTGTTCTACTCACTGCTATAGCACTCATCGGTGTCTGTGTCTTCATCTTGGCAATAATTGGCATTTTACATTGGCAGGAAAAGGTTTGTTCAGTTAAATGAAACATTAACTTTGGTTAATTTACAGTAGTCACATATTTCTCTTTAAAAACACTGTATTTTAAACATTTTTCACATGACTAAGATTTCTGATTTTTTGATTTCTGTCCATAATGTCATCTAATTAATGATTTCTTTTATTCCCTTAAGATACTACTGTTAAATATTCAGACAAACTTGGGCCTCCCCGGTGGTGTAGCGGTGGAGCGCTGGGTTGCGAAGCTTCTGACTATACCCAGTGCTTGTATAAATAAATAAATATATCTTTAAAAAATAAATAAATATTCATACAAACTATAGAAGGCTATTTTAAAACTTAGATATTGTCCAATAGCAATAAAATGATCACCCCCAAATCACCATGTTTACAGAAATTTCTTTATTAGAAGAAATTTCATAATGATCTGGTTAATTAACCTTAGTCATTATCTACTGAGAGTGCCATGCATACTTTTCCTCAGGAACAACAGCTATCTCTCCATAGAGAATTAAAGCACAGAGAAGTTAAATGAGTTTTTCAAGGTTTTAGTGAGAAGTAACAAACTCATAAACCTTTTTTTCATCTATCAAGTATTCTTTGTACTAAACTAATTTATATAATAATTGAAAATAAAAGTCTAAAAATGTAGATTTTATACAATGTTCCTGAGGAGTAAAAAAAGAAGGTATCACATGACTTAGTTAGAACTCATTTCTATTTCTGTGTAAATACATATTAAGTGTATAACTACCAGGTTCCATCAGTATTCCCCCAAAAGGTTTCTTTATGTCACAAAAGTGTTTTCTCTGTTTGCACCTACTTCTCTGAATTATCATGCCTGTTGTAGTCATTTTTGTTAACTAAAATTACCTTCTGCTTTATCTCAGCTTTTTTAACACATGAAAAAGAGAACATATTGTTATGATAAATGTTCATAGGTGGTCTTTCTAAAAATTGACTCCTTTATGTGTCAGAAACAATGACAGTTGCATATTCAGTTCATTTTAATTTTGCCACTTAAAGGTGAGGCAACAAAGTATGAGGCAGCATACTTTTTGTCCAGAAGTGTCAGAGTATAATTTACAATATTATATAACTCTAGACCTATGAAGGAAAGCAAAATAGTTTCATTAATTTCTCAGACTGAGTATAGCATAAACATTGTGGGTTTAGAACAATAATGATAACAGGGGCAAAAACTGAAGTTTTAAATACAAATATGTATGTGCTTGTGTGTCCTCTCCCATGGCACTGTGCTGCTTGTCTCCTTCCTCTTTGTCTACTTGTCTTTCAACTATTTCCTAATCAGCGTGTGCTCTAAGCCTCCTTTCTACACTTTCTCTACCAATTTTATCTAAAATCATGACTTCAGCTCCTACCTCAAATAGCCCAGACCTGGCTGCTTTCTGTGGGTCTCTTCCCCCCACTTTTAATAGTCCCCCCTGGCATCTCTTCCTAGATCAATAGACACACCTCAAAACTAGAATTCTAAAGCTTTGTCTCTTTCTTATTAACCCACAAGTTGAATCAGTTGCCCTCTTATTTCTGTCTCCTTAAGAAGCTGCAGTGACCCCGCTTCTGTGCGCCTACCAGTGCTTTAGTTAGCCCCTTGCTGCGTCCTCCCTGGCCTCCCTGATTCCAGTCGCCGCCTCCCCGCTTCATTTAGCGCATTGCTGCCAGATTGCTATCATTAAGTGAGGGTTATAATCTTGCCACTCCACTGTTCAAAACGTCTGTTGACTACCGACTACCTAACATGTGTAAGCCCCTGGCCTGCCCTTCATCACACATGCTCCCACGAGACTCCACTTAGACCTCCCAGCATTGTCTCTCACCAGCTGCTTTCACTATTCCCGGCCCCTGCAGACTCCCATGCTAAGCTCCTGTTCTACCCAAGCTTAGGATGATACCCTCCCCCCATTTCCATAAATCCTACCTTTTCAAAACTTTCCCTTTCCTTATCCCAAGCTAAAAATAATCGCTCAGAGTAGTTTCACTTTTTTCCCTGAAATGCAGTATTTTTCACAGTAGCCTTTTAAGTTCCTTAAGAACAACATACAAAACTGAGGGGTTTTTTAATCCCTCAGAATTCCTAGCATGGTTCCTTTCTGGGAGCAGAGGATCTCTAAATATATGCTAAATCAAATGCTAACCCAAAAATAATGTTTTTTAATATAATTAGTTTAGATTCATTTATTAACCTCAGTATTAAGAGTGGAGGAAATGATTCCGGATTTACAGATTCTGAAATGTTTGCTTCTACTTTCAACTAAATATACAACAAAGTAAGGAAGGAACATTTATTGTTTTTTGAACTAGTGGAGCACTAATTGTAAAATAGTGACTGTAAACTACAAAATTACTTCATGAGATTATTACATAATGAAACCACATTTTTGCCTAATTGTTGAGGGCTTTTGTTATTCACTTTCTATTTCAGAAATGAGTCTTTCCTTGACATTTTCCTGTCATTTATAAACTAATCTGTAATTTTTTTTTCAGAAAGCAGATGATAGAGAAAAGCGGCAAGAAGCCCATCGGTTTCATTTTGATGCTATGTGACATGCCTTTAACACTACATAATGGAGCGTCTATTCACTTGATTAACTGAAGTACTAAATTTGGCTTATAGAAGAAATAGGGGATTTTGGATATTATTTATAAATGATGCATCCCTTGGTAATTATTGGAAAGTATTCAAATAAATATGGTCTGAATGTATCACAAGATCTTTTTTTAAAGCACTTTGTATACAATAATTTGGGTTCTTTATTCAATTGTGCTGTACATTTTTGTTTCTTTGTGGAATGTGTTGCATGTACTCAGGTGTTTATGTATTTATAATCTTATTAGAATAATGATGATGGGAAAAGACATGTAAATAAAAATATTTAAATGAGCAGGATTTTCTGTATTCCACTTGAATTAGTCTTGCTTCTTCTTCAATGATGCAAATTATACTTTTGTGAATGTATCACAGATAAGGTTATTAACATTTACCTTCATTATAGCAGGTCTGGGGCCTCTCACTCACCACACTGGATATAATGACGGGTGCTCTGGCTTTGGAATCATAGACAGACCGGCCTTAAACTTGTGGTTCTGCCACTTACAAGTTGATTGAACTGGCTAATTGCTTAACTTCTGTAAGCCTCAGTTTTCTTGTTTATCCAAGGGAGCTAATACATAAGTTCACTTGAGTCACTGTAAGCATTAAATAGAATGACATAGGTAAAGTACTCGCTTGGTACCTGGCACAGCATAAGTTGTCAATCCATGGTAGTAGTCATCATTCCTATTTTTAGAAAACTTTTTACAGACTCTACAACTAATTATCAAAAAATATAAACTTGGGATAAATTTATTAGGCCAAAGGAAATCATATTCTTTGGAAAACCTAAATTCTTGGTAGTTGACAACTTAAAGATTTATTGCTTGGCCATATTAGCTAAAAAATAATAGTACCCTCCAAGAATTAACATGCTCTAAAATTTTTCATTTGAACACTGATATGTGATAATGAAGAGAGTTTGATATGTTGAAAGGATTCTGCTGTAGTCAGCATCTGGGAATGCAAATCTTTCATCACATTTCTCAAAAGCTTGTAGGAGTCTATAATTTACATTCAGAGTTCAATGCAAATTTTTGTGAACGTAACCTTGCCAAAAAGTGACTTTTAGACTTAAGTCTAAGATTGGAGGGAAAAAAAGTTTATACATCAGTGTTAATAATTTTCTAATATGCAAATGGACATGTGATGGCTGTAAAACATAAAACTTATCTGAAAACAGTTTTGTTCTTCATGTTATTTTCTTTACAGTTCACTGAGGATGGCATGTGTAATAAGTGGTTACTTTGTGTATCTAAGCATGTTAATGTCTTAATAAATACTCTTTACTGAAAACAAAGTATTTTGGTGAGTGTGAAAATAATTATTTTGGAGCGTGAAGAGACTTTAGAGGTTCTGAGGTCTAACTCACTTATTTGAGTGTGAGGTGGAAGTAAAGTGACTACTTTGTTGCTTCTTTATTAGTCAGGGCAAGATGGGACTCTCCTGACTACAGAATCCAGTTCAATTCACTAAAACTGTTATTGATCCTAACATTGTACCAGTCACTATTCAATGCTGTCGCTAAAGACAGGCTTAATATCTAGCAATTGACGTGAGTTTTTAAAATCACGTGAAGTCAGGCTTTTGAGGGGTCATGTTATAAGCAAAGAAAATGTCACTAACAGTTAAAAATACTCTCAGTGATATTAACAGTTTCTGTATCTTGATACTAACCTCCAAATGCAACACCAATGTAAAAGGGCAGATGACCTTTATATTAATTTGCACTCAGACACCAGAGTGATGCCCACCCTCAAGCACTGTTTTGAGTCACAAATGGTAATATGTACACAGCAGTCACTTTACAAGTGCTGGTTCTTCCCTCGCATCCTTCCTCCCAGAACACTTCCTGACTGCCTTCCACTGGTCCATACTTTTATAATCCTCCTTTTTAGGAAACTGGGAGGAGTAATTAAGACAATAATCACTTATAAGATTAAAAATTACAAATACCATAAGTACAGTTGTTAAAATACCATTTATTTACACAAGTCCTTTATATTTCTCCATTTATCAGTCCAAAAAGACTATATTTTCAGAAACTCAGTTCCAAAATAGTTTCTCGTTTCTAATAGGTCTGGGGAGTAAAGATGACTTAACATAATTCCTTTACCCTGTCTACTGTTGGTAAGGAAAGTTTGGGACCTCTGATGGGTAGAGATACCTAGAGACTCACCCTCAGAGTATTAAGTATCCTTACATACCTAAGAAGAGCATCTCTATTCACACAGGTAGTGATTAATAAACTATGAAAGTGGAAAAGATCCTGTTTTCACAAGTATTTCAAGCAGAGAAACCCTATAGTAAAATGTTTAAAGGAAAAATAAATCACTAGATTCCATATTAAATCTTAGAATTTTATACAACACTCCCATGGATTTCATATGGTAATTGCTATAATGAGCTTAATTCCATGTCTTAAAAATCATTTTCCTTTTGTTCTTCAGAAGATCCCTAAGAAAGAAGTCAGAAAATATTTATACAGCTAGGACTACTCAAAAAGAAAATGCAAAAATTTGAATTGTATCCAGCAGATCCAGATGGCATACTAGAATTAATCTAAGATTCTTAATGGCTGCCAAGTATAAAGGTGAACTAAAAGTACACCAGTCCCATAGATGACCTGGAGCCTTGCTGTACATAACCCAGGTGGTTATTTTAAAAGACTAGTGAAATAGATCATAGATTAGGGGGTGCTCTTGATCAACACCTGAACAGAAGAAAGGAGGGAAGCAAGATTAAGCAAAGGGAAAATGGAGTTGTGATTCTCAATGGAATGCCTCACACAGTCCTACAGTGAGTTTTGAGATAGGTTGACTTTTTTAACACCTAACCTGTCCCAAGTTGGGATAGGAAAGATAGGCTTTTATACCAACTCATTCACCAATTACTGGCTATATAGACTGCCCCAAAGATGTCTATCATGAAAAAGAAAACAGGTACAAATAGTCAATATCAGAAATGAAAAAGGAAATAGAACTATTGCAATTTATATATGTATTACATATATATTTACAAAAACAAATATAGGAAGATGTTAAAAAACAATTTTATACCAATTCCTAGGAAAAGACTCAAACAGAAAAATTTACTCCTGCTAGATGCTGTGATGTGGTATCCAAGATCCTCCTTTAAAAATAAAGGATTTAGGGGCCTCCCCGGTGGCGCAGCGGTTGAGCGCTGGGTTGCGAAGCTGCCCGCGGCCTCTGCAGCGCCGGTTCTATCCCCGGCTGCTCCCCGGCCACCAGAGGAGGGTCCCACATGGAGCTCAGACCTCTCCTGCCGCCCGCTGCTCCCCTCAGCAGTGTACTTCGGTCCTTCTGCCTGCTCTGCTCCCCGCTCTGGCTCTGGTGAATTCTCTCACCCTCCCGCGCTTCTGACTGTACCCAGTGCTTGTATAAATAAATTAATAAATAAATCTTTAAAAAAATAAATAAATAAAAATAATAAAAATAAAAATAAAGGATTTAGGGCCTCCCCTGGTGGCGCAGCAGTTGAGCGCTGGACTGCGAAGCTGCCCGCAGCCTCTGCAGCGCTGGTTGGATCCCCCGCTGCCAGCGAGGGTCCCAAATGGCGCAACAGACCTCTCCTGCCGCGCGTGCTGCTCCCCTCAGCAGTGTACTTCGTCAGTCTGCCTGTTCTGTTCCCCACTCTGGTAAACTCTCGCACCCTCCCACGCTTCTGACTGTACCCAGTGCTTGCCTAAATAAATAAATAAATCTTTAAAAAAAAAAAAAACTTCTAAAAAAATAAATAAAAATAAAGGATTTAGCTTTATTATAATTAGTCTTTCTCCTGGTCCGTTATTTAGGTTTTCTAAATTCCTGCTATGAGTGGGACCATCTGGTATTTTTCTTTATCTTTCTGGCTTATTTCGCTGAGCATGATCCCTTCTAGCTCCGTCCACGTTGCTGCAAATTGCATGTGTTTATCTTTTTTGAATGCTGAGTAATATTCCATGGTGTATATGTACCACATCTTTTTGATCCAGTCATCTATTTTTGGGTATTTGCAACTATAAACCAGAGACACCCGGGGGGCGGGGGGAGGAGGGAGTAGGATCAAAACAAGAGGGGGTTGGAATTGTACGAGGACTATAAGATGAAAATGCATACATTGTGCAAAAATGAAAAATCATGTAAAAAATACATAAAATTAAAAAATAATAAATAAATAAAGGATTTAGCACACCCTTTGATAGCTCTGCTGATAGAGAAGTCTGAAGAATGAAATGATTTATTATCACAATATCTGGGATTAACTTCAGTTACAATAATTCTATTTCCCTTTTCATTTCTGATATTGACTTTGTACCTAGTTTTTTTTCTTGATAGACATCCTTGGGCAGCAAAGTAATTTGTAATTGATGAATGTGGGGATATAAAGGCCTAGCCATCTTACCCCAACCTGACACAGATTAGGAGATGAAAATGTCATCCCATCTCCAAACTTACTATAGGGTTATATGAGGCATCCCATTGAGACCTTTGGGGTCTGCCTCAGCTGAGGAGAGCAGACTACCCAAGTTACTCTCCTTGCCATAAAAATCCTAAATGTGTATAAACTAAATATATAAAGCCAAAACAGAACAATAAGCATATATAAACAGGCTCACAATTTAGATTTAGGTTGAAAATGTCAATACTCATCTATAGTGACTGATAGAAAAAGTAAGCAAAATTCAGAAAGCTGAGAGATAATCTAAAAAGCACTATATCGATCAAGCCCACCCTAATGGATATTTATAAGACACTTCAAAAAACAACAGCAAAATACAGTGTCCTGAAGCATACACAGAAGATTCACCAAGATAAACCATAATCTGGATCATACAACAAATTTAAAAGAATAGATATCAGATGGACATTCTCAGACTAAAATGAAATTAAACTAGAAAGATACCTACAAAATACCAAGGATAATAAGGAAAGATTATGATAAATCAATGCCCATGAATTCATAAGTTAATTCATAAACAAGGATCAATTCTTTAAAAGAAACGACAAAAGTCACCCAAAGTCAACATCATATATCAATTTTTAAAAGTTAAACTTTTATATTAAAAAGCAAGCTTTACACAAAGGAAAACTCAATGGAACAGATAGTTTCAGTAGCAAATTTTATAAACACTTAAGGATGAAATATAACCTACACAATCTCTTGCAGAAAAGAAGTGAAAGGAAAAGTTCACATTTTTTATATGATTACTATTTCCTTAATATCAAAACCAGATAAAGACATTATAAGAAAATAAAAATATACACCAATATTCCTCATAATAGATGCAAAAAACTCTCAACAAGATTATTAGCAAAATTGAATCCAGAAATACATAAAAAGATAATTTATCATGACCAAGTGGATTTTCTACCAGACTAGCATATTAACAAGTCAGAAAAATCACCCTTTCAATAAACACAGTAAAATAATTTGACAATATCTAACTCATTCCTGGCATTTTCAGAAAAACCTAAACAAACTATGAGTAGAACTTCCTTGATCTAATACAAAAAAAAAAATATTCTACAGCTAATAATATAATTTTCCAGAAGATTAGGTACAAGGCAAGGATGTTCTCCCCCACTGGTACTTTTCAACATAGTACTGGAAATCTTAAGAGTAATAAGTCAAGAAAAGGATATAAAACATACACGGATTGGAAAGGAAGAAATAAAACTGTCCCCATGAGCAAACAATATGATAATCTATGTTTAAAAATACCCAGGTCTCTATTTACACACACACACACACACACACACACACACATCCTCCTAGAATTCCTAGAATTAACTAAATTCTGCAAGTTCAGTAGGATACAAAGTCAACACCAGAAAATAATATCTCAATATAAAAGTAATGATTATTTGGAAAAAAGTAACAGTTAAAAAGTCCAAAAATGAAATTCTTACATAAAAATATCACAAAGAATGCCTAGGACCTGTATGCTGAAAACTACAAAATGCTGATAAAAGAAATAAACATAAGACATAAATGGAGAGATACTGTTTATGAATTAAAAGAATATTGTTTATGCATTAAAATACTCCCCAAAGTGATCTACAGATTTAATACCACCCCCATCAAATCCCAGTTGTATTTTGTAGGAATAAACAAGGTAAATGTAAAGTTTACACTAAAGAGTAAAGGAAGTAATGACAGAGTGGGAGGAATCAAATTATCTGATTTTAAAACTTATTATATAAAAGTTATAATCATCATAATAGTGAGGTACTGGCAAAAGATAGATCAATAGGACAAAACAGAGTCCAAAAATAAACCCACCCAAATTTGATC